GCACAATACAAACACTAAAACAACCACAAGCACAGGACAAGATAGGATAGTGCTCTACACTAAAGCAATTCTTGAAGCAATTCTGGAAAGCTGTCAGAAAAGCAATGATTATTAATTGGAGATGGATGGAACTCCCCCACACCAACGCTCGTGGGGAGATCTCTGCTCTCAACCTCCAGCAGTGACCTTGGGGGGGTCCCCAGCCAAGGCAGGAATCTCCACACCCCCCCCCCACATAGGATCGGTTCTGTTGGAAGAATCTGCCCCTGGGAAAGGGGACTGACCCTTTCTGGTAAAAGGGTTGGACTGACAGTCACTGGACTCCAGGGGTTGCCTCACCATCAGGGGATCAGGGGGTTCATTCGGGGTGGAAGCAGTGGCCAAAGCTGTTCCCGCAGTTGGGGCACTCGTAGGGCTTCCCTTACTGGTGAGTCCGTTGATGTTTTGTAGGGCCTCTCCCTGCTGTGGATGCGCCGGTGCCTGACAAGGTTGCCGTTCTGCTTAAAGCCCTTCCCGCAGACTGTGCAGTGGAAGGGCCTCTCATCCCTGTGCGTCCGCTCATGCCTGAGGAGAATTGAGCTGTTCCTAAAGCTCTTCCCACATTCCTCACAGAGGTAGGGCCGTTCCCCAGTGTGGATGCGCTGGTGGGTGATGAGGTTGGAGCTACCATGGTCTGCTACCATGGCAACTATCATACATTCCATTCCTACGGTCGGTTACCATGGCAGCCATCAGACATTCCCATTGTGATGGTCACTTACCATGGCAACCATCATACAGTCACGTTGCTACGGTCACATTCCATGACAACCAGCATCCATTCCCGTTTCTACAGTCAGTTACCATGGGAACCCTCACACATTCCCATTGTCATGGTCAGTTATCGTGGCAACCATCACACATTCCCATCGCTATGGTCGGTTACCATGGCAACCACCATACAGTCCCATTTGTTACGGCCAGTTACCATGGTAACCATCATACCTCCCACTGCTACGGTCAATTACCATGGCAACCATTATATATCCCATTACTACAGTCAGTTACCAGGGCAACAATCACACATTCCCGTTGCTATGGTCAGTTACCATGGCAACCATTGTACATTGTCATTGCTATAGTCAGTTACAATGGCAACCATCACATTTTTCCATTGCTCCTTTCAGTTACCATGGTAACCATCATACATTCCCATTGCCATGGTCAGTTACCATGGCAGCCATCGTATATTCCCATTACTACGGTCAGTTACCATGGCAACTATCATACATTCCCATTGATACACTCAGTTACCATGGCAACCATCATACGTCCCACTGCTACAGTCAGATACCATGGCAACCATCATACACTTGTGTTGCTACGGTCGGTTACCATGGCAAACAGCAAACATTCTGGTTGCTAGGGTCAGTTACCATGGCAACCATCAGACATTCTCTTATAGGTTAGGAATTAGAGAGTTTGTCTTTCCCCTGCCCCCCCCAGTGTAGGAGAGACGGAGTTGGAGTGGAAAAGGGGGAGATGGGCTCAAAGGCTTTCCTGAAGTCAGAAGAGACACATCCCCAGCCTTTCCCTCAGCTACTGAGGGGCTCATTGTGTCAGAGGAGGAGACCAGGTTGGTCAGGCAGGACCTGCCTTTCCCAACCCCACACTGGCTGGGCCTGATCCCCCTGCCCCAGGGGTGGAAACACAGTCCAACCGTCTGTCATGGACTGATCCAGGCCACACTAGAGAAGGGTGAGGCTCCTGAACACATCCAGTACATCGATGACATCATTGGAGGGGGGGACACAGCTGAAGAAGTTTTCAAGAAAGGACAGAAGATCATCCAGATTCTCCTCGAGGCCGGTTTTGCCATCAAGAAGAGCAAAGTGAAGGGACCTGCCCAAGAGATCCAATTCCTAGGGGTGAAATGGCAAATGGACGACGCCAGATACCAACAGACGTCATCAACAAGATTGTAGCCATGGCTCCACCCACAAACAAGAAAGAGACCCAAGCTTTTCTGGGAGCCACAGGCTTCTGGAGGATGCACATCCCAGAATACAGTCAGATTGTGAGCCCTCTTTACTTTGTGACCCGTAAAAAGAACAATTTCCAATGGGGTCCTGAGCAACAACAAGCTTTCAGGCAGATCAAGCAAGAAATTGCTCTTGGACCAGTCAGAACGGGACCAGATGTAAAGAATGTACTCTACACTGCAGCTGGAGATAAAGGTCCCTCCTGGAGCCTCTGGCCAAAGGTGCCTGGTGAGACGCGAGGGCGACCACTGGGTTTCTGGAGCCGAAGCTACAGAGGTTCTGAGGCCAATTCCACCCCTGTGGAGAAGGAAATCTTAGCGGCGTATGAAGGCATACGAGCAGCTTCAGAGGGAATTGGTACCGAAGCACAGCTCTTCCTGGCACCCCGATTACCAGTCTGGAGCTGGATGTTCAAAGGGAAGGTGCCCCCTACGCATCATGCCACCGATGCCACGTGGAGCAAGTGGATCGCTTTGATTACGCAACGTGTCCGAATCGGGAACTCGAATCGCCCTGGCGTCTTGGAAATCACAACCAACTGGCCTGAAGGTGGGAACTTCAGTCTGGCAGAAGAAGAAGGAGAACCAGCGAGCCGAGTTGAAGAAGCTCTGCCATTTGATCAGCTGCCAGACGAAGAGACACGCCATGCCCTTTTCACCGATGGCTCCTGCCGTATTGTAGGGAGGAGCTGGAAGTGGAAAGCAGCCGTTTGGAGTCCCACCCGACGAGTGGCGGAAGCCACTGAAGGTAAAGGCGAATCGAGTCAGTTTGTGGAACTCAAAGCAGTCCAATTGGCCCTGGATATCGCAGAGAGAGAAGGATGGCCAAGGCTCTACCTGTACACCGATTCGTGGATGAGAGCCAATGCCCTATGGGGGTGGCTAGACTGGTGGAAAGAGGAGAATTGGAAGCATAGAGGAAAACCCATCTGGGCTGCTGATCTGTGGCAAGACATCGCTGCCAGAGTGAAGAAACTGAACGTGAGAGTCCACCATGTAGATGCCCACGTGTCCAAGAAGTGAGCTAATGAGGAACATGCTAATAACAGACAGGCAGACCGAGCTGCACAGGTCAAGGTATCACAAGCAGACCTAGACTGGCAGCAGAAGGGAGAATTGTTCCTAGCTCGATGGGCCCATGATGCTTCAGGTCATCGGGGCCGAGATGCCACTCATAGATGGGCACGAGACCGAGGGGTGGATTTAGCCATGCATATCATCTCTCAAGTTATCCGTGACTGTGAAACCTGTGCCGCTATTTAGCAGGCAAAAAGGTTGAAGCCCCTGTGGTATGGTGGACGCTGGGAGAAGTATAAATATGGGGAGGCCTGACAGATTGACTATATCATGTTGCCACAGACCCGCCAAGGTAAACGCTGTGTGCTTCCCATGGTGGAAGCAACCACAGGATGGTTGGAAACATACTCGGTACCGCATGCAACAGCCCAAACACCATTCTAGGTCTGGAGAAGCAGGTCCTGTGGAGACAGGGCACTCCAGGGAGGATTGAGTCAGACAACGGGACTCATTTCAAGAACAGCCCAGTAGCCACTTGGGCACAGGAGCATGGGATTGAATGGGTCTGTCACATTCCATATCAGGCACCTGCTGCAGGAAAAGTAGAAAGGTGTAATGGACTGTTGAAGACAACCCTAAAGGCACTAGGTGAGGGAACTTACAAAAATTGGGATAAGAACTTAGCCAAGGCCACCTGGCTCGTCAACACTAGAGGCTCTGTCAACCGAGCTGGTCCTGCCCAAGCAGAATCCCTCCACACTGGAGATGGAGACAAAGTTCCAGCCATCCATCTCAAAGGTATGTTAGGTAAGGCCCTTTGGATCACTCCTCCCTCAGGCCAAGACAAACCCAGTCGTGGGATTGTTTTTGCTCAAGGGCCCGGAAATACCTGGTGGGTTATGAGGAAGGATGGAGAGATCCAATGTGTCCCTCAAGGAAATCTAGCCCTGGGGAAAAACTAATTCTGTGCCCTAAGTTGTGTTTTACAGGAGACCAGACACCAGACGGAAAAGACCCGAACAAAGCGATACCGGTATCCAAGGATGTCCGATGATGAGACAGCCCAAACCAATGAGCCAGCCCTAAACCAGAACTGTGATTGCGACGAAAGGGCCGAGAATCCTAATGGAGCTGCTGGTGGTGCTGATCTTCAACAGCAGACGACAGCCTCGAAATAAACATAGACTATATGGATATAAGTACATGTATACGCACGGGATAGAGATGAATACAATATACAGGTGTTACGTAAAGAAATAGTATGGAATAAGGGGTGGAGAATGTGATGGTTTCACTGTAGGCCTTCCTGGAGACCAGCTTGTAACCAGGAAGGAACTAGGAAGGTGATCACAGAAGTTTTCCATGCTATTCCTTTACATAACTTGAGGTATAAATAAAGCCAGCAGGAGGGACCTCGCGCTCTTCCTTTCCGGCGAGGTTCGAGAACGGTGGGTCCCTGTCTCGGTCTGGCTTATCTGGAGCTGAGGCCCACAGTGACTGCTGTTATCTGCCACACGTGAGGGGAGAGTGCTGGGCCGTGTCCAGCCATCCTGCTTGTTCAAAGGGAAGTGGTGAGATTTTGCTAATTTACCTTCAGTTGGCTGGTTGACTTGGTTGGTCTTTGTCCTTTTTTGTCCTTTTCCCTTCTCCCTCCCCCTCTTCCCTTTTTGGGGAGCTGTTTGGGATTTCTGGAGTTGTGGTGTATAGTATTCTCATTGTATATATCTGTCTCATATGTAAAATATATATATATATTTTTGCTATAGCTTTGGCTGCTTAAGTTGTTTTTTTTTTCTCTTCCCTCTCTGGGAAGCAGGTCCTTGTTGTCGAGTTTCGGGGACTCGGCGGGAAGCCAGCTTGAAACTCGCACACCTTCCTATGATGAAAAGCAAGCAGCTTATAAGGACCACACTGAGAAACCCAGGATTGATTGTTTCATTGAATATCGTTGTTTAATCCTTAGTGGAAGAGGAGAGAGACTTCCTGAGGAAAAAGGAGTTGGCTATGCTGGAACTCCAGGCCCTGCAGAAGAGGCTGGAAGAGCTGCAAGAGCTGAGCAAAGGCCTGGAGGAAAACAGGCTGGAACCAGGAGCTGAACTGATCCAGAGAGTGGTGAGTGTGTCCTGGGATGGGCATGGGATTTGTCCCACAAAATTGAACCGTGCTTGAGGAACCAGAGTGGATTGTTCACCAAATTTGGAGCTCAAGGAGTGCCGGGAGCAGCTCCAGAGGGAGTTCAAGGAGTCCCGGGAGCAGCTCCAGAGGGAACTCAAGGAGTCCCGGGAGACTGCACAGAGAGCTCAGGGAGCGCGAAAGACGGGAAAGCGACCTGAGCTCCAGAGTACAGTGAGCAAAGCACCGAAACCTCCCCCGAAACTGCCCCAAATCCAGCAAAATCCGCCCAAATCCCGTAAAAAACGCTATCAAAATCCATCCAAGTCCTTCCAAATCCCCCTGAAATCCACCCAAATCCCTTAAAAAAAACTCTCAAAATCCATCCAAATCCTTCCAAATCCCCTTGAAATCCACTCAAAATCCCAGGAAATCCTGCAGAACTGAGCTGAAATCCATTGAAATGGAGCACAAATCCTTCCAAACCCACTCCAAATCTGTCAAAGATCCACTGAAAATCCCCCTCCAACCGGAGCTGTGGGAAAGCTGCCTCCGAGTGGGGTGAGGGAACCACCAAAATTCCCCTGAAATCCACCCAAACCCCTCAAATTCCATCAAGAATCCCTCAAAACCTTCTGAAAATCCACAAAAACTGACCTCAAGTCCACGCAAGTCAACCCCAAACCCCTCAAGATCCCACAGAATTTCCCCCAAAAACCTTCCAAAAACTCTCCAATTCCCTCCAACTTCTCCACGATTTCCCCAAATCGCCCCAAATTCCAAAGATTTCCTCAAAATCCCTCCAAATGGGAATTTTCTGAGATTCTCTCAAGGATCCCCACAGAAATTCCCCAAAACCCTTCGACAAATTCCCCAATTCCCCACAAAGCCCCCTCCAAAATCGCATCAATTCCCTCCAAATTGCCTTCAAATCCCCCAAGCCCCTCGAGGTTTGGGAATTCCAGTTTAAGAATTTGGGGGATTCCGGGGGAAATCTGGGGGGAAAGTCAGGGGATTTGGGGGCATTCAGGGCAAAGATCAGGGAATTTGAAAGGGGTTTGGAGGGAAATTTGAGGGGATTCAGGGGGAAATTCCAGGCATTTGGGGGATCAGAGGGAGGATTTGGGAAGAATTTCGGAATTCTAAGGGGGAGCTGGGAATTCCGGGGGGCTCGGGACTTTTGGGGGGGGCTTTGGGAAGAGGTTTGATGGGAATTTGGGGGGGATTCAGGGAGAAATTCTGGGACTTTCCCGCAGCTCCCTGGAGTCGGAGCTGGAGCGGCGTCTGCGGGAGGAGGAGTAGAGGCAGAACGAGATGAGCTCTAACATCTCCGAGAAATCAGAGGTTTGCGGGGGGCCTGGAATTCCCAAAAACTTTCGGGGAAAAAACCGGGGAAATCCGGAGCCGTTTGGGTGCTTTGTGGGGCGAAATCCGCCAGGGGGCGCCAACGCGGAGGAAAAAAAAGGCGGGAAAATCTGAGGGTGGCAGCAATTCCCGGTCTTTTGAGCCCAAAATTCCTCACGGGGGGCCCGAAAACATGGGAAGAGTCAAGGAAAAAAGGCAAGAAATGGGAATTCGCACCAGTGTTGCTGGTTTTTGAACTGAAAACACCTCAGAATATGGGAAAAACGGGAAAAAAATCGGGGATTTGCTCCGATTTCGGCTTTCTTTTTGGCATCAAAAGCCCATCCCAAAAATCAGGAAAGACTGGGAAAAATGGGAAATTTGCACCAGGTCTGGCGGTTTTGTGCCCGAAATCCACCAGTGGTGCCAAAAAGAAAAAGGTGGGACAATGGGGGGTTGCACCTGTGATAGATAAAATGAGGCTAAAATTTAGGTTGCAAGGTAAAAACAGGTTTATTAATGCTAACAAGCAAAAGCGGCTAGCCGGGCGACCGGGGGAAACCCTTGCTCCACCACAGTCCGCAAAATGGGGAACCGAAACAGCAGCAATTATAACCCTCGTTGGTCCCACCCCCTTAAGTCATGTCCATAGTCCATTGGTGAGACTTTCGCGGGCTATCTTCTGTCTGGTTCCTCCTTCGCGGGCTAGTCCAAGGTTGGCTCCTCCGTTCGCGGGTCTTGCCGTTGCTGAGGGGCTTCCACCAATAATATCAAAGTCCTTAGTCTCTATGTGGCCGTGGTCCTGGAATTTTCCATCGGCAGATGTCATCTAATCACAGGACTCCTCGTGGCTTGCCCTCCATATTAGTCCCTATTAATAGGCTTATAACAAACATCTTTAAAATACCAAGTCACTCTGCGTTGTGTTAACAAACTCGTGGTTAGAAATTTCACAATTAAATCACTTATGACTCTTAACAATGTGGTTAATAAGATACAACAACACCATTAACTCTTTTGAACAGCAAATTTCCTAGTTTTACTTATAACAATCCCCCCTCCTAATTTCCTCATAAATTTGCTGGTCAAATCTAATTGTTATAGCTTCTCTAGTCGTTTCTGAAAGAGAGACTTGATCTTCATCAGAAGACCTTCCACTCATATCCTCATATTGTTGCCTCATAGTTAATAGTTGTACTGTATCGATTCTTTTCTTAGCAAATGCTAATATTTTATTGAGGATACACGGCCCAAATACCAGAGAAGCAAATAACATTACCAGGGGGCCTGCTAAGGTAGAAACCAAAGTCGCTAGCCAAGGATACTGGTTATGCCAATTTTCAATCCAGCTTTGGGTGGCCTCTCTTTCCCTTTTTCTTTGTAAAATTCCCTCACGTAATTTGGACATAGATTCTTTAATAACTCCCGAATGATTGGCATAAAAACAACACTCCTCACCCAGTGCTACACATAATCCTCCCTGTTGTAAAAACAGTAAGTCCAGTCCTCGCCTGTTTTGTAAGACTACTTCCGAAAGGGAATTTAAAGAGGTCTCCAAATATGATATGGATTTCTCTATTCGATCCAAATCCTCATCCACGGCTGTTCTCAAAGCTGTCAAGCCATGGCTATGTTGGACCAGAGAGGCAACTCCAGCTCCCGTAGCTCCCAACCCCAAAAGCATTGCAATTGTTATACTTATTGGTTCTCGCTTTTGTATACGATGTTCGTTCATCTCCCAAAATTCAAAAACTGATTCTCCAGTCCGATATAACATGTGAGGCAAAACTGCAACTTGAACACAAAATTCATTATTTCTTTTGAATGCTGAGACAGACACACACGGAACCAACCCTGCTTTGGAACAAATCCACCATCCACCCTGATGTGGTATGACCCACTTATTATTTTTCCCTTCTAATTTATTTATTTCAGCGCCACATAAATCTTTACTGCTTGGGGACACATTTCCAATACATGTCCCTTTCCCACTGATTTGGGACATAGTGAGACCAACCTCCCTTTCTCCCCATCTGCACTGACTCGGGTTATCCTCAGTGCTAAAATTGAAAGTAAGGTTTAATCCTACTCCTTCATAGAAGGGAGGTTTAACATTATAGCACAACCAGCAAGATTCAGTCATGTCTGGATCAGTATAGTTAATAGCTCTATATGAAGCTTCCACCATATTTAGCATAGATCCTACCTCTCCTTGGGATACCCTGTTCTCTGTTACTGACTCAGTGGGGAGGATTTTGACAACTTTTGTTTCCTGTGGCGCTGGTCTGGTGAGGATTTTATTTTCTTTCTCTTTTCCCAGAGCGTCATCCCTGGATTCCTTTATTTCTAGATTCGGTCCTAAAAACTGAGAATAAGCTGTTAATGGCTGTTTCCGTATAGTTACATACTCCCCTGGATCAGCATATAACCGATCCAACCTTACTCCCCAAGTTCAACCAGTCAACCACCCTCGATCTTCATGATTGAGAATTTGAACTTGCAAATACTCACAATTAGATGGCTCATTGGGGAGTACCAGTCCTCCAAGGGCAGGGGGTGTGCAATGTGGGGGTCCCCATTGTACCCGTAAGAACTTATCTGGTCTTTCCGGTCTCCATGCAGTAGCAATCGTTTCACAACCCCAATACCCACAATGGTAATGCCCTGGATAATTGCAAAAAGACCTCCCTGGATTGGAAGTCGGGCACCAATATGTTGCTCCCTTGTTTACAGTAACTGAGGGTTTCCCTCCACCTTTTCCGCACTGTTGGGGAATAGTAGCCATTAATAGGTCACAAACAGTTACATTGAATCTAGGAGATATTGCAGTTATTACTCTTCTTACAACTTTAGAATCCTTTGCCCTGGTCAAAGTTCATTCGAAGGGTTGATGGGTAAGTCCCAGAGAAGTCATTAAAACCAGTAATTCAACAATCAACAACCAATTTTGCCCCATTTTGCTTGAGTCTCTTTTACCGCTTTCAGTGATTTTATTTAAATCCCTACAAATGTATCTCTCTGCCTTCCTCCGTCTGTTCCTGTGCAGGGAACAACGGGGTTCCAAGTTCTTCTCGACAGCAAAGATATTCTTCAAGGGATAACTTAATTCACTGATTTTTCGGATTGAGACTCATCTATTTCCAAATTTTGGACTCTATTAATTAGCCCCAACAAATCAACGTAACTCCTTCGATTAGGCCTCTCTGATTTCCAGGAGAACCTCGCTCGGCAAAGTTCTATTAGTGCGTTATTCCAATTTGTTTCATAGACCTCCCAAGTCTCTGGGACTAACCACTCCCAACCACAAAAAGCCTTTATTATCTCAGCTTGTGCTAATTGTTCCCTTATAGACTCAGTTGAGCTGGTTCTGCACCTCATACAATAGGGTTGCCCCTTTATTGACACACAGCGCCACTTTTTACCACATTTCTTACACTCACAGAGTATCCAACTATAATGTGTGGATCCTGGGTGTTTTATGCAGGGTATTCCGTGTGGGTTTTGTCCTTCCGGTACATCAGTCTCTATTTCACAACAATGAGCTAAAACAGTTTGTGTTCCTACAATTCTATACAGTCCCGAACCTCCAGTCTGTTCAGGGATTCCTTCCAGGTTCCAGGAGACATAATATGATTTCCTCAGAGTCTGTCCTTGAG